TTTTAGAAAGTATTCGAGTGATTTTAGTTTTAACGTACTGAACAGAGTTGCCAGCTATCAAAAATTAAACGTTGAAATTTTTTTTTTTAATTCCTAGGCCTCGTATTTGGTGAGGATTTAATTGTGGCGTATTTTGGAACAGAGTTACCGTTTGCAAAAATTATATATTGAGCAAAATATTACAAAATGTATAAAACGTTTAATTCCTGGACCATACTTGAGCGTTATTAATTATGTCATTTCCAAAAATGCCAATTTTGAAAAAAATTAAAAGCGAAATGTTTAAAAATGCCTGCGAACAGTGTAGCGTAGAGAATAAACAAAGAGGCTTCAATTAAAAATATTATAGAAAGTTGCCACCAATTAAAAAATTATTTTCTCTTTTAAAAACTTAGTTTGCCATTATTTCCACCTTTTTGCACCACTGTCTGTAGCAGCCAAAATCACAACAACATAAAATCGATTTACAAAGTGTTCTGTTAGTTCATTGACGGCTTGCGGACTTCGCCGCTTGATCGCGCTTCAAATTGTTACCTTTCTTTTCTTCGACAGCGCCCCTTTCTATAGGAGAAACTGCACATGTACATATGTACATAAGTGTTATATTGCATGTACACACAGAATTAAGTGTTGCACGCCGCTTTCGGTACTGTGGCACTGTAAGTACTGCTGAGGCTGCCACTGCCGGTTTGCTTCATTATTAAATGATGACTGTGTTGAAAACGCTCATTAATGGTGTACTTCAGAAATTAAAGTATACCAACTCGCGCAATTGTTACAGTTTATTTCTCAACCGAATTTTTTTGAATTATTTCAGATTTATTTTTTTTACTGATTTTTCACTGACTCTTTGTTCCAATACTGCTTATCAGCGATCCCTTATAGCTGTAACTCCTCTATTCAACTTGTTCACGCCATCAGCGGAGCAAAATAAATAAATAATGGCACAACAATAACAAAGTAAGCAGCATAACAATACAACAACAATACAAACAGGTAGGCTCTAACATAAGCACAATCACTGACAATCAAGACAGACGCGTCTGTCCGCCAGTTGCGGCTTAAACGCCAAGCTTTCCAGGCGTACCGGCTGCAGTCAGTCAGTCAATCAAGCGCGCTCACTACATTACTGTACGAGTATACAGCGCAACCGTTAATTTCATGATGTGGCAGCCACGAACAGGTTTGCATGCCACTTTACTCCATTGTTTGTATATTTGATTGTGTGTGTGTTTACATGTATATATGTGTGTATACAAAAAAAATTCTTTTGCAATTAACTTTTTATTGTGTGCCATGCTGAACTTCTATACACCCGCCGGATTCGTCAGCTAACACGGTTCGTGCAACCTCCGACTCACTCGCGCTTGCTATGGTCTATTTATTTTGGTAATTTTTTTCCGATTTTTTCGTTTGTGTAATAATTACAATTCATATTTTTCGGTTTGTTATTTTAATTAGAGCAGCTTGAAAATTGTTCATTATCGTGCAATGAGAATAAAATAATTGCAGACATTATCGCCACGCAGGCAAATAAAGGTTAAGGCATGAAAGGGTGCACACACATATACCTATATATAGCCATACATGTATATATACTTGTATATATATTTCTATATATTATATTAAATGATGAGTGTGAAGTCATTGAAAAATAAATTAAATTGAAAATAATGTGCAGCAAAGACAGACTATAGATTGCCATGCTTGTTCGAATATAAAAATAAATTCCTACCCATATCCATAGGGAATTTAATTCCTCATTATTCCACATTCACGCGAGTGGTTCTGCTTTTATTGAGCATGAAATTTTTGTAAAATCATTGTTTAAATGCATTTCTTCGAATAACTAGGTTCAGTATAATCAAGTCTTGTTGTTCTTGCTGTTATTTTAGTACTTTTCATTATAATGCTACGGCTTTTTATTATTCTAAACATATATTTGTCTTATAAATTAAGTCGCTGTCTTGCTTTTAAGCAAACTTTTGGTCCGTCCGCCATGCCGCCCTTGGGGCTTTGTATAATCGATTAGCGCTTTATTGCGTCTTTCTTTATGCTTAATTACTTATTGATTCGATTTTGTGTCATTCCTCCAAACATAGTGAAATATGCTTTTGAAGTTGTTTAATAAAAGAACTCAATATTAGGTTTATTAAAAAATTAAGCTGGAGAAGATATTTAAGTGTCTACAAATGTCTTCGCACTTTTGAACTCCAATAAAATAGATATTGCTACAAAAAAAGATGGTATACCGTTTTTCTAAAAGGAGAGTTTTCTTAGACATGTGGTTTTTTAGAAGAAATAAAACGCATATAATTAAATGTTCTGGCCAAGAAATGTGTTTGTGCAAGTGAGCGCCGCGGCTGGTTCATATAAATTCCAGCCGAGAGATACAATGTAGCTATGTAGCGCCGTCTTATTGGAACTAAAGGTCGTCTACATCAATATCATCTAAGTCATTAATCATGACTCTATAGGGTTCCCCATTGACTGTAACTGTATGGTCGGCTTCATTTTTAAAGAACTATGGCCCAGTGACTCCCTCTGTTCATAGAGCACACCAAATAGTGACTTATTTAAAGATGTAACAGGCTCTGCTTCACAGCAGCAAAAGTGTCTTCTGCACTGTACGACGACTCTGAGGATTTGCGTTATCCACTAGATTAAACGTGGCGCGAAACCATTACAAGTCCCGTGCGGTTTACCGTGTATGCTTTAATCTAGGAGAACTACTGAAATTCTCTCAAATAAAAACCTGAACGAAATTCATAGCTTCCTATCGATAACACTGTACAACACTCGGATGGGTATTGAGTATGATTGAGAGTCATAAGTAACAAAGTAATTTGAATTCGAAACTCGAAATTGAGCTAATTGGAAAAATCACCCATAATTATAGTCCATTATGAAGCAAAATATTAGTGCTGTCGTTAAATGGTGTTTAAGATTAAACATAGGCTTGGTACTACTTTGGAATCCGAATTAAAGAATTAAATCTAGGTTTAGGAGTACAGAGCACTGGATCTGGTTACACACGTATTTTTGAATAGATTGTATACATCACTTAATATTATGATACAGGTCATCATATTTACCCCAAAAGTCTTAACCTATGAAATTAGGTAAGGTAGCAACGGCAGAACATAGGGCATAAACCGAGAAAAAACTTTTGCCTGATTGAAATGATGCAGCTTTTATGAAAGAAACATATACTATTCGTTAAATCATGTGTTTTTAAGTCAGCTAGTCGACTCTGATATCCCCATTTTCCATACCTGGGACCTTTTTACTGTTTTTACCCAAAAGTGAGCCATGCCAAACCCATTATTCGCTCATTATTCTGTATATATTGATATATATAAATCTATATCTATCTCGTTTAGTTTCAGGTGTTACAGCCAACTGTTAGGTGAACAAAACTATTGTTTTGTAGCAACATGTTGCGTAAGTGTTAAAATATAATAATTAAAATTGTTTTTTAAAACGTAGTAATATATCAACAGAATTAAAAATACGTATTTTTCCTTTTCAAGAATGGTAAAGCCTTGTTGTTAATCGTGGTAACTTTTAGCTCGCGCGCTTGAACTTATAAAATTGCAAGGGAGAAAATACATTAGTAGAAAAATATAAATATATATTTTCTTACATATGTATTGTATATGTATATATGTTCAAGGCATACACAAGGTCAACTAATCAGTCCACGACAACAACAATTGCGCACTGAAATCTTTTTCTCCTCCACACTAGTCGCTCTAATCTCAAGGTGCTTATAAGCAACACCTCTAATCCATAATCGTTTCAATGTCCACATGCAACCTTTTTTCTATCACAAATCCCCATTACTCGTTTACCAACGCACACACACATACCTACTCACACGACAGCAGCTAGTTGCACAAAAGTCGCTAAGCCTGTGTGTTTGTAGTGTTTCTTTGGCTTTGGTTTCGTCCTTTTTTTCATAGACAATACAAAATGCACGAGGAAACACATTTCCCACCGAGCGCCTTTGCACCAGCTTACCAACAACGAAAACAATAAAAATGCTGTTTCTCTTCCATTCGCAATGATGAGCTATTAACTTCTTTGCAATTTCCAAAAATAATTCTCGACAATGTCAAATAATTCACAAAATCCGTTGCACAGCAGGAGCTTCCCAGGGAAATGCTGGAGATACCATATATGCGTGGTCATGTAGTGATGTACGTTTGTATGTTTCTCAAGTCTTTTGCTGGATCACATGTGTGTGTGTGTGAGAGAGTTTGAAAGTGCTGTGCTGCGCGCTGGTGTGTACCTGTTTTCTTGGGAAACTCGAAACCTGCAGTAGTTTGTTGAGGAGTTCTTTTTGTAATTTTAGTCTTGTAAGGTCATATTCCCCCAAAAAATTGTTGTTGATGTTTTGTTTTTTATCTTATTTTTCCAAAGATGATGTCTTTGATTTCCGAATGATAATTGAAAAGTAACCAACAGGAGTAATTGAGCTTCTGTTAATCTCAAGAACCATTCACGTGGAGACCAGATTATCATGGAAAAAGCTTCCAATACCTAAGATTAAGTTGTAAAAGCCGATCCGCTTTAACCAGTATTGAAGTATTTAGACCAGTCTAAAGCCCTAAAAAAATACTTAATATTGACAATACATTCTGAGAATAATGTAAACGGAACCGAATTCTTTCCTTTCAATACAAAAAAAAAATATATATACATATGTATATGGACATTTTGCTACGAGTATCAGTTGGCAGCAAATGCGTCAAACTTCGAAATCATTTTTTTAAGAGCGTTCTACGAGCAACGGCGATCTAAGAAATCAAAGTTCTTACATATTTCGAGTTTAAAATATAATATAACAAAAAAACTTACCCATCTTAGTATTTTCAGTATGCTATGAAGTGAAAAATGATTTTACGACTTGTATGGCTGAATCCAAAACCAAACCACTTTTTGAATTCCCAGAATTAAAGTTTTAGAATTAAAACAAAAGCTGGAATTTAAAAGTGACAAAATTAATTAATTTAATTGCCATTACTTAACCTTTTTTAAACTACTTTTTTTTTAATTTTAAAAACCTTAATTAAAATTTATTTTTTACTTCAACTAAATGAATACATTAATAATATAATGGATAATATTAATACCCATCTGTCTGTATATACACGAACTAGTCAATCGGTTTTTGAGATATCGATATGGAATTTTGCGCACGTCTTTTCTTCTCCAAAAAGCTGCTCATTTGTCGGAAATGCCGATATTGAACGACTATACAAGTATACTATATACAAGTAAATGTCGTACAAAATGAACGATTGGAATCAAGTGCTTGTATGGAAAACTTTTTCATTTGACGAGTTATCTTTAAGAAATTTGGCAAGGGTTATTATCTCAAATCGGTACAATCTCTGAAAAAATTGTGCAGATCCGAACAATTCAAAATTTAATTCAAAAAAGTTGATACTTTATTTACTTTATTATGATTTTTTTGCGGTTTTTATCAATTTTTTATATATATTTTAAATATTCTTCTAACTATTAGAAATTAGTGTTGTGTTGTTGTATTAAAACTAAATAAACTAACTAAACAACATTTTTTATAAAATAATTTACATTTGCTTAGCGGTTAAATAAGTACAATTTTCACTTAACGGTATAATTACCGTTGCTAAAAATTAAGTCAGTGCTCTTTTCAAAACAAAAAAAAAAGTAAAAATAATAATTATGCTTATGAACTAGTTGTTAAACTACTTAGATAATTTATTTACAATTAACACTATGTCTTTCGGTTTGTTGTTTTCTTCGTGAAATGTTATTGTTGCTTTAAATTATTATTTTTATTTTTTATATACAAATTTTTCAAAGGTACCACTTTGATTTCAGATTTTAATTTTAATTTCACGCCTTCAAAATCAGCTTTCCAAAGCATACCTTTAGGTGCACGAACTTAGCATATTATCTTTGCTGCTAATTACATACGAGTTGGTTACTTAAGTTCTATAATTCGTTGGTTTACTATTTATGTACTTAGGGTCCTCAGTAGTAATACTTGAAATTCTATCTCGTGATCTCTCCTACACGCTAACGTCCCCCTGTATATCTCAAAGTCTCGTTTTGATAATACGCTTGCGCTACGACACGCGGTCACATCACAGTTGGCGCCCACTAAGCGTACAAGCTCAGCTTGGGATGGTGATAGGTAGGGTAACGCACCGCCAGCGGCAGCTCATCACCCACACTAAACACCTGCGATCAGTGGGGATTACGCATTGTGTTGTTGCATGGCTGCTGCTGTTGCTGTTGTTGCTTTTGTGCATTGACGCCCATAAAGGAGCGACGACCCGTAGTCGCTACGCCATTACGCAAGGGCAATGCTGGCGGTAGTGGCGGTGGTGTGGGCGTTTTGGCGCAACGTCCCTGCTCTAACGGCATCGAATAGTGTGCGTTGCTGTAAATATAATTGGCATCCATTACCTCGCTAGACGCATCACAATCGCTACGTGACGAAGTGCCATAATGCAGCTGCTGTTGTTGCTGCTGCTGTTGTTGTTTCTGTTGTTGGTTGAAGTGCTCTTGCGTGAGGCGCAGCTGGTGTTGGCGTGCTTCACATGTATTCACCCCGGGCGAATGCATCATTGGCACATCGGCATAGGAGTAACACGACTCGCCGACATCTAGCGTAACGGCGGAGTGTGCGAATTGCGGTTTCGTGTAATGGTTCACGCTCGGCTGCGATTCCACAACGCTGCCGTTGCAGGGTTTAAGCCGTAGCGAGTAGGATGCGCAATCGTCAATGCTAATACCGGTTTGTAGTGCTTTCTTCTCGTTCAACACTGTGGCGGTGGGCACTTGCAGCTGCTGTAGATTCTTCTGTGTATCCGGCGCGTTCAAGTCGTTGATGGGCATGGTGCAGAAGCCGTAATGACGTGCAGCGGGATGATGTGGGGTGTAGGTGTTTGAGAAGGTCGAGTGTATGCCAAGACTGCAGGGATGATGTTGATGGCGCGTGATGTAGTCCTCATCGCAGAAAGTCTTTTGGTATTCACGTTCTTTGCGTCCCAAAGCGGAATTACCCCAAACACCGCTGCTGATGTACTCGCGTATCTTGCGGCGACAACGATACAATATGAGCGCCAAGGCAGTTAGCGTGGCTGCCGAACCGACGAGTAGCGCGCCAATCAAAGCTTGCTTGCGTGGATCGGTGTGTGTGCAACCCATAAGCGCCGGGTTCAAGTTGCGCAAAGCTTCACCATGCAGCCGTTCGGGGAAGGCGCAGTAGACTTCAGAGATCGCATCGTTTGTACCGTTCTTTTCCACCAACAAGTTGCGCAGCCACATGACACGACAATCACAAGACATCGGATTCTCCGACAGATCGAGCGTAATGAGATCGCGCCATGGAAAAAGACCTTCTGCAAGTGTGGTGAGCGCGTTTGCTTTCAGTATGACATGACGCATATTGGGTAAACCGCTCAGCGCACCCTCCTGCACTTCATGCAACATTTTGTTCGATGACAGATTTAAATACTCCAAATTGCCATTTGTCGAGAAGGCGCCGTTCATTATGCGTTTCAGCCGTAGAGCGCCATTGATTTCCAAGCGTTTCAATTGCTTCAAGCCGACAAAAGCACCCTCAACAATCACCTCAAAATCATTTTGACCCAACGCCAACTCCTCTAAGCGCGCCAGATTACTCAAACTGAAGGTGGGCACACGTGTCAAGCGATTGTTAGAGAGATCCAGTTGGCGCAGCGCTTCCAAACCCTTGAACGAGTCATGCGAAATATTCTGCAACTCAGCGCCACGTAAGTCCAGACGCGTTAAGGCCGGCACATCTTGGAAGGCCGCTGCAGGTATGCTCAATAAAGTGTTCATGCCGAGAAAGAGCTCCGCCAAAATGGGCATGGCCTGGAAAATAACTGGATCAGGCACCGAAGTCAACGCATTGTCATCCAAATACAAGATACGCAGCTGCGACAAACCGTCAAACGCTTTCGGATCGACAAAGCCAATGCGGTTATTACCTAAATTCAGCTCTTCAATTTTAGCCAGCGGCGTAAAGGTGCCCAAATGTAGCTCGGAAATCTGATTATGGCGTAAATTCAACACCGTCACGGCCGACAAACCGATGAATGTCTTATTGCTGATTGCGCCAATCTTATTGTCATTCAAATGCACCTCCTGCAGCTTCTTCTGGTAAGCGAAGGTGCGCTGCGGTATGGTCATCAGGTGATTCGACGACAAATCGAGGAATGTCAGCTCGGCATAGAATTGTATCGAAGAGTCTATCGTCTTGATTTTGTTGTTGCGTATCACCAAACGTTGTATGGACGGATTCAGTGCAATCGGCAGAACATCCAATTGACCCTCGCCGCACTGCACGACCAAAGTATTGTCATCGCACTGACAACCGGGTGGACAGTTAGCCAAACCGCTAGCTGTGGCGGCGAGCAGCAGACTGAGCAGCGAAATGTAGGTAATGCTCTTGAGTTGCAACATTTTGTGGTATATATGTGTATGTGTATGTGACTCCTTATTAAACTCGGATTCTAATGTTGTTGTTGTTATTTTTATTGGTTGCTGTAGTGCATACGTCGCGTCGTTAATGGGTGTTGGTTTTATAAGCGTTCCATTGCTGCTAGTAAGAAATGGTAGAAGAAGAAGTAGATGTGATTAAATAATGCGCTGAAGTCGAGTAAATTAATTTAATGTGAAATGTATGGAAATGCAGCAGATAAGTAATGCACAAAAGCAATAAAAATAGGAAAATGTAGAAAAGGCAAACACAATATTTTTGTGTATGTGTGTGTGTGTTAATGGTGAATTATGTGCAGCTGAGTTTCCGCTTTTATAATAAATTTATTTTTGTGTTAATTAATTGAATATTTTATTTATAAATGTGTGTGTGTGTGCTCAGTTTTTGTTGTTAAAACAAAAAAATGCGGCGAGTTAACAAAATTAAATATTACGCATAATAGAATAATAAATTTTTAAAGCAGAAATTAGTTTAAGTAATAATTAAAAAAAAGCATCAAGCAGTTCTTATAGCAAATATTTCTGAATTGATAAAATTTCTATTGAAAATGATAACTAGTGTCATTTGCAAGCCTACTAACTTAATAAAAATGGTTTATCAAACTTCAGAAAAATGCGTATAATCGTTCCAAAAACTATTAATTGCAGCTATGAAATTTCAAACCTTCTGACTTTAAAAATTGGAAAGCCAATTATGAAAAATTTTAAAATTTTGTAATTTCTTTTATTTCTGTACAAAACTTTTCTGAATAAAATTTTTATGTTTTCGCTATAATTTTTCCTCGTAAAATTTATATTTCTCATACCAATTTTCAATAATAACTTATTAGACTTTCTGACAATTATGTAAGTGATATATATTTTTTTAATTTTCAAATGATATCATTAAAAAACATTTTTTGTTCTACTTTGCTGTTTTGCCAAAAAATGTTTTTAAAAATTCTAAAATTATTTTAAAAAATTAAATTTTAAATTTTAACGCTTAAGAAGTTGATTGTCCATTGCACGAAAACTAAACAAAAATTTATTTAATAAAGAACTTATCAAATATTTTAATATATAATATTTATAATTTTAACACTTTTGTCATTAAAAATTAGTAAGAATTAAATATTTTTTTTATACAAAACTGGGAATTTTTGTTTAAAAAGGTATTAGTTTTTATTTAAAGGATTAAAAGAAAAGTTTTTAATATGTTATTTCAAACTTAAACTGAAAACTCTTGGCTAATCTACATAATTCTCCTAAGAACCCAAAAATTTCACATATTTATGCCTAATAATTTTATTTTATTTTCAAAACAAAATACGTTAAAATTATACATAAATTTTTTTGGCGCTAAAAGTGTTGACTGCCTTACAGAAAATACCTAACTCTGATTTTTAAACACAAGGTTTCACTAATACTCATTCATATGTACACTGAACATAAACTCAAAAAAATTAAAACTCGTTATAAAACACATGTAAACACTTTAAAACACATTTTTTTAATCAAAATTTATTATATTTCTTAAGTCAAAAAACAATCAAATTAATTGCCGATTTCATTGCTTTTTCTGAACAAAAAAAATTTTAATGCCTATAACAATTTTGATATGTGAAACCTGCTTGGTGATTTTTAAAATAGTTTTGTATCTTATTATATAGTTAATTTTACATTTTCAATAAAAATAAGGGTTTTTTCAAATCTTATTAAAAAATTTCAATTTTTTAAAAAATTAACCCTTAATTTTTTCAATATATTGTAATTAAGCTTTACATGTGGCAATTTCAATATTTGCAAGTTTTAAATTTTGAAATTTTATTGTTTTTAAATCAAATATTTATAATTTCAAATATCTACATTTATTTATATTTTTTGTAAACATATTGTTTTGCGTTTTTGAACTTAAAACGCAGTTTTCAGAAAACTAAAATTTGGTCTTTCTACTCTTTTACTGTCTTATGAAATTTTCTGTGCAGCGAATAAAACTTTCTTCAAATATCTAAATAAAGTTTTCACACACTAAATTTAGTATTTCAGTAATTTTTTAATTTTTCTGATACAATTTTTGCAACACAACCAACCTTTTCCAACTGTCCGGCAGTAGCTCGTGTACATTAAAACTCAATTGTCATGCGATTTTTATGATTTCTCCAAATTTTCCCACGCACTTTAATTGCAATCTGATTGAATTTGAATTTTCACTGCGATTTTAACACAAAACGGCTAATAACGCATTTCCGTGGCAAACACAAATGTTTGTTGTTGCTTATGCTTTGCTTTCGTTTATTTTGCTTTTTTTTGTTGTTTCCTACACAGTTATTTACTTGCGCAAAATTCACAAAAATTCAAATTTTTTATTTACAAAATCACTTGATTAGTTTGAAAAATATTTTCAACACAGTTTTTAGCATTCTTTGCTCATCTGTTTTTGTATTTATTTTTTTTTTGTGATTTTTTCGAAAACACTTTTTCCCAAATTTCCTGCAATAGCTGCACCGTGAGCGATAATCCAAGTGTTCGCTTTAATCACGGTTTTGCTAATACGAAAAAAAACTTGGCACTTTTTCGAACCTCAAGCTCGTAACTATAGGCGCTCTACATTTATAGACGGCTTTTGTATTTGATTTTGCTAAGTCTCGAAAGTGTACGAATTTGTTTCTTGTTTAAAAGCCAAGTAAGTTTACAACCGCACACGGCCAAGCAACGAACTACACTAAAACTTGAACGAACTGAGTGTGTTAACAACACCTCGGTGTGCAGTAGTGGCCCATGGAGAAGCGGCCAAGCGTAAATAATTCTGCTACCAAACCAGTCGACAAGCGACTGTCTCAAAACAAGCGCCAACGTACGTAGTATACCAACAACAACCCTCATCGTAGTTTATGGAGTGAATAACACGCTCAAAAACTCTCGTTGTTTGCTGTTGTGGAGCGCCGAGCAGCTCGTGCAATTACAAGCTGAGGCAAGCAAACCAGTTTGAAAACGGTTGAACTAACACTTCGGAGAGTATAATGAGTGCATATGAGAAATACTAGGCAGCAGACGGCGAAAAGGCAGCTGCATTTTCAGTGAATGCGCACCAATTGGTCATCAAAGTCAAGGAGAGTTTGTGATTACACATTAGCGCTGACTACACTCGCACGACAGAGTGCATACAACGTGAATTTTTGACATACCGTGAGCAACATCGTGACTACTGAGCTCAGAGCGAAGCGCGTCGGGAGCATTTGCTCTGCATGAGTGCGCCGACAGAGGTCGCTGCAAGCACTAAGTTCACAGCAGTGCATTCAATGCCAATTTGAAACGCATTGAATGCGCTTCCTGTCTCCTCTCTTTCACTCAATCTCATTTGAGACTCATTCTCAGTCGCTCAATTTTTCATTTCATTTGTTTGTGTTTTTGTATAGCTGACCTTTAGTTTTACTTAGGTCTAAAATGCAGCTGCATGCCACAAGGGCATTATTATATGCGGCGTTGTTTTGCTGGCAGGCAATTGGTGTTGCAACTTCATTGCTGTGGCGTCGGGAGCATTTACGTTGTGTTCCTGTTGACGGCGTGCGGCAAGTGGCTGGAGACGTATTTATTATTATTATTTTTGTTAAAAAAATTTTGTAGAAGAAAGCTAAAAAGTTAAAGACCAAATAGCATAAAGCAATACAATTTTCAAATAACTAGGCAAAGTGATTGTAGAAAATTATAACAATAATTTTGACGGGACTCTTGAAAATTTCGGTTCGAATTGGAGTAGAAGGAAAATGAGCCTAAGCGAAGACTTTTGAAACATTTTTGAAAACTTGATTTTTTTTCAAAAATTTTCAAAACTTTAAAAGTTATAGTGTTACAACCAGATTGCCATATTTTCAGCAGTTGCAAACCATCCAGACATTTCTAATATTTTTCTGATCTCAATTTGTGTATTATTATACATAATTAGTACCTTCCTTAACGTAACGTTATTTAGTACTTGAAATATTACAAAGAAGAAATGCAATGCATTATTTATGTTTTCAATTTTTTTTTCGCATAGTAATCTGTACATTAAAAAATAAAATAAAATTTCTTCACTTGTAAAGAAAAGTTTTGGTTTACATATGCCAGCGCAACGTTTCTCCAAAAAACCGAAATTTTTGATATTTCAAACAAATTTTAACATCTATTATTCCGGTCAAATTAGAAAGAAAATAAGCGCGAAATTACGTAAATTTACAACAAACTGAAAGCTAGTGAATGTGTTCAAAACATGATTAAAAGTAACAAGCGTGCTGATATTTTTTGACTTTTTTTGCCAGTGATGGTTGAATGACTAAATTCAATAACCCTACAAAATATCTCATCTAAATGAATGCTCTGGGAAACAAGAATCTACCACTTTTCGTAATTGCAAAATCTCAGAACCCGAGGCCTTTCAGAAACAAAACACTACAATTATGTTTAAAAAGAACGACATCTGTAGTTAGTACATAATTTTCACGTACAAAACCTTCCAAAGAAAGGGCTACTTATTTCAGATAATGCTCCAAGTCACTCAACTGAACACGAACTGGTTAATGCTGATTTCGGCAATTTTTATGCCACATGTAACGCCACTGATTCAACCGATAGATCAAAACGTTATTAGGCTTATGAAACTCTTGTGTAAAATTATTGCTGCTTTTGGGACGGATAATATCTCATAATATTTAAAACGTATTAATATTTTCAATGCCGTATCTTTATATACGCTTTCTTAAGAAAAACTGCCAAGGAACTCTATCATAAGATACTGGAAAAATATTTTCAATTATGGTTCTGTAGGATTCGATGAAGAAGATGATATACCAATAGCAGAATTGATTAGGTACAACGGCGAAAACCTCCTTGAATCAACATTGACACTGTCAGCAACAATTTTTCTTAATGTAAGGTTTTGGTATTAGTAATTTTAATAGAGTTCAGTTTTTTTTATTTTTTTGGTTATCAAATTACTTTTCCAGTGTTTAGTTGGATTCGCGGATATTCATGAGTGGAATAATGATGATAGTTTTGCAGACGCGAATTGAAGACTTTTTTTGTAAAAAATAAATAAAGTTTTCAAAATTCTAAACTGAATGTATATTCATTTTAAAAGTTGGTTTTATTACATTTAAAAAATTTATCGATTTAAAGAAATTTTCGATTTTACGAACTTGGTATACAACATAAAATTGGTTATATAGGACGACCACTGCAATGGATCTACCAACAGTTTTGATTTCTGAACACATATCTCTTCTTATGTGTAATTTTTATTTTGAGACCACTTAACAGTGCTAACTGCACCAACTCTCTTCAAATATCTACTCCTCAATAGTCTCAAAAGAGACATACACTTGCCACCTTGAGCAAGAAATTGTATGCTATATTAAGAAAAGAGTACCTAGCACAATTTTAAGAAATTTCCGCATTTTTCCGGTAAGAAAATTTATACCAGCACCTTTAAGGCATTAAATCTTGCGAAAAAATCGCTTTCAACACCAACTAAACGTTCACTTATGGCGGGCGCTTTCAAACAGCCAATTGCTCCCTTGTCATCGAATATAGGTCGAGGTACATACCGACGTTTGTGTGTGCATATATTTGTATAGCGGTACTTAATGCATCAATCATGTGGCAACAGCAATAATCACCGCATCCACCGCAAATGAAAGTATGCTCTCACACACACCTACACACACACACTCACATATTTAAATAGAAATAAGCATGTGTGTACGAATTCGCGTGTGCAGACTCCGCGATTAAGTAGCGAATGTTAATCTAATATTAGCCTGACATAAAGTGTTGTGAGCACTTGAAGGACGCCACTAACCGTGCATTCAAGTATAAAGTGCTCATTACCAATCGAATACACGAGTACATGGAAGTGTATGCACATATACATATGAATGTTCGAGTATGTGCTTTGGAAATGTAAAAGTGGCGCTCCCAAAACCCAGTCAACATATTGCTAATTAAATATTACAATAAATGAAATCCCTACTCATTGTTGATAGGTAATCGATTTTGTTTGTAAGTATTGGATTCTTGAACGGACGTCTTAGTGATGAGTGGAAGATTTAACTGTATGTATATACATACGTATGTCTGCAAAAGAGTGATTTCCGAAAAAATTTAAATTTTTTTCGTGTTAAACCATGTCCAACTCCTTAATTTATATCTCACACTCTTTTAGTGCTAATTAATAGTGACTAAATATATAAATATTAAGGTTAGTAATTCACCATCGTCATTAGCTTCCGAAAATCCCTGTTTTAAACCTTGGTCTTATTCGAGAAACAGTAAAATATTTTATGTTCCCATTAAATGATATAAGCAGTGTTCTAAGATCGACCAACATACAAGTTACAGTTGATTGCAATTATACGACAGGTCTTGAAATATACTCTAGCAAAGCACAGCTAGATTTTGTTAGGCCGCAGACTATAAGCAGATATAAGGCTTAAAGCTGATTAAAACACTCCGAGTTATTCTAAAATGAACGGAATGAGTTTTAATGAGCTGAGACCTATCGCACCAATTGAGAAACAGACGCTTAAATGTTACATCTTTGATGGTACGGGAGCTAAAATCAGCTTCTTTCTGGGGTTATGTTGGACATATATGTTACAACTGAGTTTTCTGAATTTCATTCATATGTAGTTGTGGTTCTAAGCCTATTTCAAAAGTCCGTTTCCCGACACACACAGAATGAGACTGGATAAACTGATATCAGTGAGTTTAAAATAGAGAACGATAGGATAGAATATGGTAACATTAATTGTAATCTGACAAAATAATATACTTACGGACTGGTTGCTTTGACTAATTTTTTACTTACTAAATCATCAAAACGCTTGCTGGGTGCTAAGTATCTACATATATTAAGCCCCTATGCTACTAACAATGTATGTGTTCGCTGGGTGTGTGATATGACGAAAGAAATTTTAAAACCACAATACTTCACACACGCACTCACCCGCAATTCTACTTCTTTGCACGAGAAGAACCATGCATACATAATTAAACAGGCACTGCTAGCGCACACCAACAGTAGCAGCAAAAACAACAATATAGGAACGATATGAAAGCGTTTAACCTTCAAGGAAGAATATGTGGTTTTAACCAAGACCCAACACAACCCCAAACTAATGATTTTCAAATCTTCCCTACTTTATATACATACAATGTACAATCATACCGCGTCTGTTATCAACGCCTTCGCCTTACCACATCAGCCGCATTATTATTCGCGACGCTCGTTTAAATGAGTTAATTGAAAGGATACGTAACGGTGAAGCGTTAAGGTAGCAGCAACACTGACGCACATTTGGACCTTATGTTGGCATATACATACATATTTATATATGTGTGTGTGCGCCCTCGTTTGCCACTGATGCCTGACTGCAGATATGAATTCGCATAATTAGACTTGCCAGAGTCACCTACCTTCGGCTGCCGCCAGCTTGGCTCATTCAGCCAGCTATTAGTGCAGTTTACTGCCAATACCGCAGCATTAACCAGCTAAACATTGCCGACACCCCAACGATTAACGGTGATTTTTTTTCGCTTCGGATTTTTATATTAATTTGTTTTTGCTTTCTATTGAAGTGTGCTGATTATTTTTCCACTCGCTCGTTTTCTATATGTACATAAGTATCCGCAGCGCTGGCGTTGTTGTTGTTGTTGTTGATGGGGTTGGCGGATTAACCACCTCTTATCAGCATCGCCGTTACTGAGTGGAGCATCATTAGGACGCACACTCGGCTGTAAAGG